AGGAATGGAGTCAGCAGCTGACTGAGGTTGTTTCAGGCAGCAAAAAAACCCCCAGTGTTTAACTAGCTTAAATTTCATACTTTTTAAATTGCAAAGTGATGAAAAATACCAGGCAGACAAAGATGGCTTAAGTTTCCAGCAGCCTTTTTGTCTATCAAACGTGCAAGTATTAGCATGGTGTTGCTCATTAGGAGTTCCACCTAGGGAGTCTTTTCATGCAGTTCATGGGATGGTTGTTATCAGCCAGTCAGGAAATTGTTTCAGTTTGCTACCACCCTGAGCAGAGCTGAGGAAAAGTGCTGGGCATAAAAACACTCAGATCTTACACATTTCTATGCTTGTTATCTGTACAACTTTGTTACTACAGTAAAAGGCCTCACCTGGTGTTCTAAAATCGTTTTCTTTTCCAGTTCCACACTGGAAACCATTTTCTTCATGTAATCCAGCTGTTTCTCCAGCAGGGAGCAGCGGGATTGTGCTGCACTTAACTGCACACTTATCTCTACAAAAAGAAACAGAGACATTCAGTACACCAACAGGAGTTACACATTTAGCCAGCCTGTCACCTCACTGAGGAATTCTGTCTTCAAAACACACAACAAAAGTTCTGTTAGTCAGAACAAGTCATGTGGTTAAAATATATCTTACATAGAACACATGAGAATCAAAATGTTTTTCCAGAGCTAGTCCCTAATTTGAATTCCAAAGGTGTGAGCACTGCAGTTACTTTGATTTATATCAGCAGATATCTAACTAGAATCTGGTTTCTTCCCTTCTCCTCACTTTTCTCAAGTTAGCAGTGTTATACATCTAAGCAACTTACGGAAGGAGTTAAACATACCACCTAAAATCTGCTTACTCTTTAAAATAGCTGTATGGGTTACGTAATACTTGGCTAATATATGTAAAAAAATATTTCAACCTGATCCAGAATTATCAAGCCCCTGCTCCTCCCCAGTTCTGAAGCAAAGAAAAGAAAGGGGGGTGCATTCATTAGCAGTTTAACAAAACAAACACTCCCTAGATTATGCAGTCTTGGAGTTGCTGTGGCTACATCTTATCACTCAAGAGAAATACCTTTCCTCTGCTGCATCAGCTCTTGATGTGCTGTGTCCTTTCTGTGGGACTCCTGCTCTAAGGTCTTCTTATACTGAGCAGCTGCAATGGAGAGGCTGCTCAGATTATCTTCAGCCTGTGACTTCTCCACCTCTAGACGGTGGATCTTTTCTTGGAGAGTTTTCAGGGCTGCCAGCACAGCTAGTAAACAATGCAAGTTACACCTTAACTAACAGTTCCTGTGATTATTACTACAAAACACTTTTAACAGCAAAATTTCTTCCTAGGATCACCCCTAAAATGAACCACATACCCCAGAAAATGGCCATGTGTGCTGCATAACTGTGGTATCAAGCACAGGTCCTGTGAGAAAAACTAGTTTCACTCCAAATGCTCACATGCACAAAGAAACTGGGGCAAATTCAGCACAACAAACCCTGGGACTTCCGTTTACACAGGCACAGAGATCCAAATTAGGTCACAAATTTTGGTGTAATGCAACCAGTGTGAACAGATCTCAATAAAACCCCCAAACAACACCAAACATGGACTGAGGACAGGAGGGGAATCAGATACAAAAGGTCATTTTCATAGAGGATGCATTCTAAAAACTTCATTGTTTCAAAAGGTAATTCTTCAATGTCTAGTTTCTTGTATTTGACAATTCTTTAAACCACAGAAACAAGCTTGTAAAATTTTGATTTTAGCTTCCAATCAGTATGTGTCCAAATTATGCCCAAAAATAAAAGTTGCAATTTCACCCTACCTACTCCAAAAACTACACACACCTGTGGAAGCTGAAGACATGCTCTGTTTAAAAACAAAGCTTATTTTCTGATGTTTTCTGTGCCTTGATAGCTTTCCTATACAATTATTTCAGTTGAGGACTAGCCAGCAAACACTGCTAGCTCTGTAACAACTCTCATCAGCTTGTCATAGCCCCAGTAGAATAAACAAAACCAAACCAGAAGCAAAAAGCAGATACCAGAAAGAGCAGAAAGATGAAGTAGGGCCACCACTTCTTTCAGATTTCTAATTGCATGCTAAACATTTTCTTATTTAAACACTTGGCTGCATCAGACTGAATGTTTTAATCCAAAAAGCCCAAATTCTGTATGACAAAAGATCACGACAGAAGTCACATGTTCCTCAAAGGAAAGAACAATGATTACACACACACACACAAGCTATGTCTGTGTAACATTTCAAAGTTGCCCACAGTAGTAAACACAAGTGTGGTATCCTTGAGATTCCCTCAGCTCTCTAGATATGCTAAGCCCCAGAGTATTTGTCCTGTGAGCTCCAGGGAATAGTAGAATCATAGCATAATAGAATGTCTTGGGTTGGAAGGGACCTTTAAAGGTCATCCAGTCCAACCCCCTACAATAAGCAGGGACATCTCCAATTAGACCAGGTTGCTCAGAGCCCCATCAAGCCTGACCTGGAATGTCTGCAGGGATGAGGCCTCCACCACCTCTCAGGGCAACCTGTTCCAGTGATCCACCAGCCTCATAGGGAAGAACTTTTTCCTAATGTCCAATCTAAATCTATCATTTTCTACCTTAAAACCACTGCCCCTTGTCCTACTGTTCCATGCCCTAGTGAACAGCTCTTCCCCAACCTTCTTATAGGCTCCTTTCAGATACTGAAAGGTCACTATAAGGTCCCCCTGGAGTCTCCTCTTCTCCAGGCTGAACAATCCCAACTCCCTCAGCCTATAATCATCAATTAAGCCACAGGACAACCATAGTTGGCCTATATTTCATACAGACTAACTTTCATGCTGCTAACTTTCCTGAGAGTCTGTGTTATTCAAAACTAATTCCAAGGAATCAAGCCACACAAAAACCTTAGAAGTGATTTTAAGCTAGAGGGAGTTGAGTAGCACTATGCAAAGCCAATTTCAAGACAGTGTATCATAGTAAGGATCCTTTCTGCTGTATTCAAGGTCATGAACTACATCTGCTGAATTTGAAGCATTCTCCTTTGCTTTTAAAGGAAGTCTGGTGGCTTTAAGTTAAACAATTTTCAAAGGCAACATTTATAATGATGTTAGAAGACTTACAGCAGTTTCTATTCCAGAAATATGACTTCAGGGAGACTACTCCCTCAGGACATATATACATCCTGCCTCAATGTCAGTCTAATAATCACAGCAAGTCATTAAACTGAGTAAAACAGAATGGGGAGTTTGCTCAAGACATCTCACATGGAACAATTACGAAGACCACTTTAAGGAGATATTTCAGCCTTACCTTGGTTATTGGGGATAGAAGGTCTGTCACCACCAACAGCTGCCAACTTCTTTGATTCTACATTAGCAAAGCCTGCAGGAAACACCTCGTCTGGTGGCTGAAGAAAGCTTCCCATTAAACTACTCCTTGATTCAGAATCCATATCCTGTAAAAAGAGAGCTATTTAATGCCTTTAGCTCTTTAACAGACTGTCTAATTTTCAAAGTATGTCACTGGTCTGGGCCAGGCTCTGTTTATATCATACCAGATTTTCTGCAGCAAAATAAAAATTTAAAAAACCCATACACCCCCCAGATGAACCGTGGATTCTAATAAAATCCCAAAACAGTGCCTTTCATAACACTAAACATAGCTCTCCTTCAACACCCAACATTTTCTAAGATTTTTCTTGGTGACTTCTAATTGCTTATTTTTGTCCTTTTACAAGTCAAGGATTAACAACATTTTCTATTCTCTGTTTTATAGACTTCAGTGTTTGCCTGTCTCTGCTCCAAGTATTCCAAGTTTTAGAGCCTGTTTAAATTTGCAGCCTCCTTAGTGCTCCAATGCCTATCTTTTTACATAGGGTTTATTACATAATAAAGGGATAGTTCTCCACATTCAGTGCTGAGATAACAGAAGGGTATTTAACATGCACTGTCGTGCATGCACTCCCTGCCCCACCTTTTCACATTCTTTATTTCACCCAAAGCACATTTGAAGACAGTTCACACCCTGTCGAATCGTGATTTTCCTTGATACTCGACCCATGGATAATGAAACTTGCAGAAAGTGCTTTAGTCTAATACAACCTCTAGGAAGTTAAGAGTTTCAAACCACACTAGCAAAGTAGCACCAAGCATTTCACTTGATGAAGCATAAGAATGAATAGTAAATACAGCTTAAGCTGACAGAAAAACAGCTTATTTGAAGGTTCAGTGATAACAATTATGGTATTATGTGAGCTTAAAATACAGGGCATGCAACTGAACAGCCTTCTCACTTGGGCAAGGCTATGTACAGACACTAGTTACCAAGAAAGTCACCCAGAGGAGGTATCTAGTACGAGGTGGAAGTAATCTAAACCAAGAGTGGAACCTGCTGCTGAAGCACACCCCAGGAAAAGCCACTCACACCACAAGGGCGAGGAAGAAAAGTTTTCAGGAACAAAAAAAGTTTCCAGGAACAGCTCTTCCAGCACTGTTCAGCAGCCATATAAAACAGAAAAACCATCATCCATCCACCCCCACCACCTCTTCAAGACAGGCACAAAGCCAAAGGCAGATGGAATACTCCCTTCCGAGCTGTCATCACGGAGATGTTGACATGAGCATCCCTTTGCCAGGGCTTGCTTGACCCGGGGCCTCCCAGGCGTTGCTGCTTTTGTGTGCCAGCCCCCCTGGGACAGACCCCAGGGCTCTGGCACGTCCCACAAAGCACCAGCACAGCCCCCAGACCCACAACGAGGGGCTGCCTGGGCTACCTTTGCACCACAGGCCTTTCCCAGGGGCTTCCCTGTGGCCATCTCGCCCCAGGCCACACGCTCGCATCGCCGCCAAGAGGTCCCACCTTGGTGACCCTGGCACGGTGATGGCACACAAGCCACATGTGGTCACTCCACAGCTTTGCCCTGGAGGCCCAGGGAAGATGGCACAGGGATGGGTGACCAGCTCTGGCAGCCAGCTAGGCCAGAGAGGCCCGGCGGCCACGGCCCATGGCAGCACCAGGCCTGCGGCCATGACGACATGATGAGAGGAGACAGGCCTGGCATGGCACCAGCACAGCATCCCACAACACACAAAATAAGCCAGAACTACCTGTTTTCCCCTTGCTTCTCAACGTCTACCTGTTGGTGATAAGCAAGACTAACAAAGTCCATAAAAAAGCACATGTATGGGGACACGACAAGCTTCTTACCGCTGCTCTGCACAGGGGAAGGCAACTTTGGAAGCTCCAGGGGAAGAAGGTGGTTTTTGCTGACACCATCTAACCTCTTGTCAGTCAGCACAAGCAGAGACTCTCTTTTCCAACATCCTCTGGTGCAACACGGCCCCCTCACATGCCAGCAGCTGCTACACATCCATTAGTTTCCTTATTACTGTCACATAAACAACTTCTGCTGTTCCCAAGGAGATGGTTCTGTGGCCAGTTGTAAGGAGGGTGGTGACGCAAAGCAAACAGTGAAAAGGAGAGGGAGGGAAAAAAGCACCAGAAACTTGTGCAAGACTCACAACGTTGCCAGTGTTGGGAAGGGTAATCAGGAACCTGCAGCTGGATGGAGGGAGCTCACCAATCTGCTCCTAAGAGCACAGGTTCAGCAAGAGGCATGAGGGAATACAACAGACAACTGCCAAGCTTCTTGTGTTTGCAGAACCCCTGCTGTGGCCATAGCTACAGACCTTGCTTTGGCACAGCTTCCTCAGATGAAGAGGCTGCGTGAAGGAGGCCGAGAGAACGGTTGCCATAGTGTTTGGAGGCTCTGCCTCCTAATATCTTAGCAGGTAAATACAGTTTATAATAATTATCTTGCATAGGAGTAATCTCTATGGCACTGCAGGCCTCAGGCAAGGACATGGGCCAGGAAAAGGGCCAAGTCACTCTATGCCAGGAAGACATCACCAAACACCCTGATGACTTTCAGCCCACCAGGACATGAAATCTACCAGGAAATAATTAAGCAGCTTGACATACATTTGAACATCAACTGTCTTACCAATCACCTTTCCCCCCACAACTATTTAAGTCTCTAAACCATCTGCTTTACAGAACAGGTCACACATCCCACAGCCATTGCCAGTTTAACCCACTGCTCTTCAATTCCACACTACCCTGGGTGCTGGTAAACAGCCCTGGAGAGGTGCTTTAAAGCAGATATTGCATCCTTAATGACAGTGTTTGTACTAATGTAACTCCACAAGGCTTAGGGGGATTTAGCACTTAAACAACACCCATTAAGGCAGCCAAAACACTGTTGTTTAGACAAGCCCTTGGTGGAGGATATTGGTGCACTCCTTTGAGTTTGGGGAACAGCCAAGAGAGAAGTATGTGTATTAAATGGAGGCTGATGAAATACCCTGGTTACAGGCAGAGGGGAGGAGAGGAAGAAGGAAGGAACCCAGCAAGCTGCACCACTGCAAGGAATGGGGTGAAGCACTTGCATCGTGCAGGTCACATCTGGAGTCACCACCAGCCCTTTGGGCTTTTTAACCAGAACTGACCCAGCCTGTGTTGGTGGACACAGTGGTGAGGGTCAGGTGCCCCGTGCTATTTTACACAGAAATATACCATAGGAGTAGCCAGTTTACATCAAGCATGGGGCAATTCAGTGGTGCCTATAGGCTTGCCACTAACCATCAGCATGGCCTAGATACCTATGGTGGCTCCAAGCCATTCATTTCTGCTGAAAATGGCCTGAACTGAGTGCCCAGAGTACTGGATCAGGCTGCTGTTAAAATAAATTGAAATTGTAATTATTGCTGCCAAGTGCAAGTAAGCATGTCAATATCACAGAATCACAGGATGGCTGGGGTTGGAAGGGCCCTCTGGAGATCATCAAGTCCAACCCCCCTACCAGAGAAGGACCAAATCTAGGGCAGGTCACTCAGAAAGGCATCCAGGCGGGTCTTGAAAGTCTCCAGAGAAGGAGCCTCCACAGCCTCTCTGGGCAGCCTGTCCCAGGGCTCTGTCACCCTCACAGGAAAGAAGTTCTTCCTCATATTGAGGTGGAACTTCCTGGCCTCCAGCTTGAATCCATTGCCCCTTGCCCTATCCCAGGGCACAAGTGACAAGAGGCTGTCTGTTCCTCTGGGTACCCAGCCCTCATATATTTCCACACATCAATTAGAACCCGTCTCAGTCTTCTCTTTTCCAGATTAAAACCCCCCAGGTCATCCTCATAGCCCTGTGTTGGCATCTGTCAAGTAAACAGTTGGGACTTACTGAACACCACTGAAATCCTAAATGCTACAGAAAGACCTTTTATTACTTCCGCATCCTCATCCATCCTGTTCCTCCCCTCCCGTGGCAGCCACATCATTAAAGAAGTTTCAAAAAAACTAAACCTTTTGAAGTTAAAAGTCAAAAAATGTTTTGCCACACATAAAATTATGCCACATACTGTAAAGCAGGATGTGGAAAAGCTTTTTCCACATGTGAACTCTAGCAGATTCCAGGAACAACGCTGGCTTAATGGATTCCCAAAAGATACACACTCAGGGAATAATGTAATAGTGGAAGCAATGCTCCCACTGAGTTCTTCAGTGTTTGTGATCTGAGAAAGAGGTGCTGTCAGAAGACCTTTCAGAGAGGAAAAAGAAAAAAAAAAACAACAGACCAAAGCATTTTCCAGAAAGTAATACAGAGATGTTTGTCTCCTGACCTGACCTACTGGGCAGGCACAATTTATACTGATTTTTTTCATCACTCGAAACAAAGTCTCAGATGAATCAAGGAATGTTTCACTGTTTATCTGACATATTATAAGAGAAATTTTAAAGAATTGCCCAAACACAGGCCTAACCAAGAAACTCCCAGAATGCTGGCTGCTGCCTTGGCTATTTGAGCCAAGCCTTGCTGGGGAAAGGTTACGTGAGAGGCCATTTTCGTGACACAATCCAAACTGGTCTACTTTTTTCCCCCCTTTTCAATTTCCTTTGAGAGCCAGGGAACAGCTTGATCAGCTGCTCTAGCTGTGCTGTGACTCTCTTTCAGCCTTATTGCCAAGAGACAAAGAACAGCCCTTCTACTGACAAAAAGAAATCATAGAATCACAGGGGTTGGAAGGAACCTCTGAAGATCATGGAGTCCAACCCCCCTGCTGCAGCAGGAACATCCAGGACAGTTCACACAGCAACACGTCCAGATGGGTCTTGAAAGCCTTCAGAGAAGGAGACTCCATAACAATAATTAATGTTGTAGGCAAACTGTGCTGTTGTTTTGGGAACACCCAGTCTCTAGCATCCTGACACAACCACTTGAATCAGCCTGAAAGGTTACGACCTTGCTCAGGACATATCCAAGTAACTGGTACTCATTTGTCTTCTTTAATCTGAGCTAGAAATGGAAAGGTGACAGCTGCAAAACTAACAGGAAGTGAAACCACACTGGATCAATAAGGCTTTTCAACAATGTTTTTAAGTTCTGCCAAGTCCCACTTGTGATGGA